AAAAAAAAGATACTCTCGGCCACCCTTAGGACACAGCTTCTGTGTGCTCCTACAAGTGTTTACCTCAACCATGCATGTCTCTTCTTAACCACTGATAATTTCTCAGTTCCAGATGCCCATTGTCAATTAGCCAAGTAAAGCAAAGGTTTCACTTTTGTGGTTCTGGTCTCTTGCTAATCTCAGACAATTCTTCAGCCCCAGCTAACCAGAACCACAGATTATCAAATTTCCCACTGGGATTTCGTAAGCCAGCCTTCCCTATCTGTGTTTTTCTCAACACTCTTATCTTTCAGGCTCCAATAGAACAACTCATCACACTTGGAACATGCAATAGCTTTTGCAGCCCAAAGTTTCAAAGTCCTTCCACCATCCTCGCCAAAACATGGTCAGGTCTGTCACAGCAATACTCCACTATACTGATACCAATTTCTGTCTTACTCAGGGTTTCTATTGCAGTGATAAAACACCATGGCTAGAAGCAAACTGTGGAGAAAAGGGTCAATTTGGCTTATACTTCTTCAGCATTGTTCATAATCTGAAGGAAGTTAGAGAAGGAATTAAATAGGGCAAGAACCTGGAGGCAAGAGCTGATGCAGAGGCCACGGAGGAGTGCTGCTCACAGGCTTGTTCCTCATGATTTGTTCAGACTGCTTTCTTATAAAACCCAGAACTACCAGCCCAGGGGTGACCCACTCACAATGAACTTGGGTCCTCTCAGGTCAATTACTAATTAAGAAAATGCCCAACAGGCTTGCTTAAAGCCAAATCTTATAAAGGCATTATTATTCAATCGAAGTTTCTTCCTGTCAGATGACTATAACTTATGTCAAGTTGTCTTATAAACTAGCCAGCACAACATCCCAAACATCCAAGACTTGCAGAACAACCTTTCATGGAAGATGTTGCTGTCAAATTACTAATGAACATGCTGTTCCCAAAGCCAACATTCCCTTTGTGTTGAATTCCTATTCTCTATGATTCATTTTGGCCACCTACAATACTAGGAGCTAGGTACTGGTTAAAAGAATAACTCAGATTTAAAAGCTTCATGATAAGAACAAAACTTTGACACTTTGGCCTTCAAAAGTTTTTTTTTAAACCGAGATCTTCAACATACAAATTCTTAAATCAGATTTTTGCGCATTTGTTCATTTCCTTCATTTTTTTTTATCTGCTCCTCCTACCCAGATAAATTTGTTGTTGGTTTCCAAGTGGATTTCACCCCAACTTCTTGAGGACATTGCTCTAATAATGAGCTTGACATTACCTAAACCAACAGCCAACTCTGTCTTCTTGAATTAGACACCTTAATGACACCCAGCACACTCCTCTTAGAGACACTCTTCCTTTCCCTAAAATTTCCTTTATTTTATGTATGTATATTATGTGCATGTGCTGCCACATGTATGCAGATATACATGGAGGCTAGAAGAGAGAACAGAAAACCCTAGAACGGGGTCACAGGACACAGTGACTCACCTAACATGGGTGTTACAAACCAAACTCAAGTCCTCCAGAAGATCACTGTACACACAGAAACACTGAGCCATCTCTCTGGCTGAAAGCACTCTTTTTTTGTCTTGACTTCCATGGTGTTGTGTCATCTTCATTGTCCTCCACCTCCCATCTCCTATTCATTCTCCTTGACTGGCTCTTGTGCCTCTGATCAGGCTCTGAATCTTGATATGTCTGTCCAGGATTCTATCTTGAGATTTAGCACTTTTATCAATGCCTATTTTTAGACTATTCCATTTAGTCCTATAGCTTAAAAACCTGTCCTAGATTGCTCCTTTCCAAATTTGCCTCTCTAGAGCATTAGAAGACAGGGACACAATCATTCAAAACTGATGGAAAAGAGGGGAAATTTTTCCACAAGTCTCAAGAACTCCAGATACTGAGTGCTACTTTTCCCCATATCTTCCCTGTGGACAGCTAATACATGCAGCCCGGACTACCTAGCAGTACCAGCCGAAGTGTTCCTCTGTTAGTAAAACTTCTCTGGTTGTGCTTTCTTCATACAAAATGTAACAAAGAAGGGTAGTGCTCCAACCCTGGAATGAAGTAGGAGCTCAGAAGGCAGTACTGCTGAGAGTAACATGTACCGTATGTAGAAGACCAGCTCAAGAGGTTTCCGAGGGGAGAAGTTGCTTAGATCTCCCAGCCTCTGACACTGCTACAGAAATAATTAGAACTACAGAATTAATTCCCTAGTCTTAGGGCAACGGAGGAGTCTTTAAGGTACGCTATGACATTAGCTATACCTGGCAAAGGTGCAATTCACCTAGAGGGGTGCTGAGAAAGCCTGAAGAGGTCATCAGAAGAAAGCCCCTTAACTAAGAGCTGCATGATACACAGGGTCATCCTTCCCTGAGCAAGTGTGTCTGAAGCTCAGGGATTCAGGACCCAGGACAGAAGAGAAAAACATCGACAAAATGGCAAGGAGGTGGTCCAAAGTGGAATGTGAAACTCTTCAAATAAAAGTTAGCTCCAACCATTTCAGAAAACACATCCTTTAAAAAAAAACCTCAATAAGCATCAAAGAGTCAAAAAACACTCAGCAATCATGTTATGGTCACATGACTACTGAATTAAGAACCAATAGCAATAAAGCTAAGAAAGCTCCTCACTTCTATAGCATAAGAAACACACTTGTAAACAATACCTGAGTGAAGGAAAGGACTACTTGGGACAGTAGGAAACAGATTCACTGAGTGCGGATTACAGTTGAAGAAGGCTTTAATCAGCTAAGGTATTACCATAAGATGTCAGAAAAAAGAAGAGAGAAAGTCCAAATTAAATCACCAGATGCAAATAATAAAAACAAAAGAAACAAATGAAATAAGGAAATAGACAAACTGGAGAAAAATCAAGTTTTCTTTTTTGCACTCTACGAACAAAGCTGAATTTTAGTTTTGTTTGTATATTTCAACATATATCAAAAATCAAAAGTAGCTTAGAAAAAACTGTCAGGATATGGGAATATAATGAGAAGTTCATGGTCAAAATCAGATGGTCATCCTCTCTGCAGTAGACTGGGTAGAGACAGTCTGCTCTGTAAAAAGGCAGGGAGGAGTTTTCTGGGGTAGTGGACATGTTTTCTCTCTCTCTCTCTCTCTCTCTCTCTCTCTCTCTCTCTCTCTCTCTGTGTGTGTGTGTGTGTGTGTGTGTGTGTGTGTATGTATGTGCATGTGTGTGTGTGGGGGGGTATCCATGTGAAGACTGACCGACCTGAACAGCCTACTCTCTGGCCATTTTGGCGTGTGTTCACACCCACCGGTTCTAAAGGTAGAGAAAAGAGCCATGTCCCAAGTAGCACATGCAGGGTGCTGGAGTACTCTGAGCTGCAGGCTTCAGAAGTACCCCTACTACCTTCACTTCAAACTAGTACAAGCCCCCATGAGGAGAGCCACTGTGGCATACGCGTACAATCTCTCTTGTGACCACAGCCACTTAAGAAAGTGGCTGCTGTTAACTCACCTCCTTCAATGAGAGCCCAAAGGTCTTGGGACGAAGATTTTGGAATCTCTGTGCATTACTTAATGAGTAAAAGTGCTACCACTGCAAGTTTCTAACGTTTGCAAGCAAGGATGGGCATTCCTTGTCGTACTCAAAGCTAGAGACAAAAGAATCTGCCAAGGTTGGCATTCTTTTCAGACGTGCTTACTTCACGGAACAAACTCCACCATTGCATCTGGAGGCTTATCTATTTATTCTAGTTTAAGTTCACACCCTGAACTCCAGTCCATTGTGTGAACCATTGGCTTTTTTGTTGACGGAAAACCCATTATCTGTACTGGGAATCGGTCTCCAAGTTAAAAAGTAATCCCCTTGATTCCCAGAATTCTTGAAACACAGGCACAGAACATCCCCACTGCTTTAAGTGAACTTTTTAATCTGTATTTTCTTGGATTTTTTTCCTCACTGTTTAAAGATTCCAAGATCCAACTCCAAGGTTACACAACCCTTGAAGCTGTCCTACCATGGTTCTGACCTACTGGGGTCACACTCAGACACTTCTTCGGGGCTGTCTGCAATTACCATTTCCTACAGTCTGAAGTGAGAAGTCTCTGCGCTTGTCCTTTCTAATAAAGTTTGTTAACTTGTAGCTATTTGTATGACTTTATTAAGTCATTATTATAAATATTATTAATAAAGTCATACAAATTATTCTAAGAAATAAATACTCTTAATAAAGAATATTAAAGTAGTCTCAATAAATGCTTACTGGGATACCTTGTAGGTATTCATGAAACAAATTCAAATTCTGGTTTAAAAAAACTTTCATATAATGATCCTGAGATGCCACCTAGTAATTGGTTGTATCTAGTCTAATTATTTTTGTTTGGTTCTTTTTGGTTTTGTTAGAGACAGGGTTATCCAGCTGGAACTCCTTCTGTGAATTAGCCTGGCCATGAACTCACAGAGATCCACCTGACTCTACCTCCAAATTGCTGGAATTAAAGACATGCACCACCGTTCCCCTCATTTTTTCTAAAATTCTTCAGTATTTTATGTCTATTGGTCCTTTGTATGTCGTCAATACTCCTGTAAGACGTGCGCACACATCCAAGCAAAATAAAGTCTTTATCACAATATAGCCTTGAAGCAGGCTTTTCTTCCAGGGTCAAGCATAAAGGCCGTAACATTTATCAGTCTCCAGCGGAGGAAGAAACCATAGAGAAAAACAAATAATGATCTCAAAGTGGGCATAAGTCAAGGTAAGATGAATCAAGAGATCAGAGCATAAAATGCGGGTCCTGTGGGCTGAGACAACCAGCAGCCTAATTTTCCGCTCACTTATTAGCAGTTTAGAAGGTTGGGGCACCACATTTACCGTAGTCCCTCAGTGCTGGTGAGGACATCGAGTGTCTGCAAAAATCGGATAGAGCGAATCTGAGGGACTACTGGAAAACGGGTTTCATCGCACCTCTCTTTCCAGCCCTTTCTAGGGTCTCCTACATCGCACCTGCTCCCTCTGCAGTCTGCTTCCTGTGTTGACCATGCCAGGGTGGAGCTGTCTGGTGACAGGAGCAGGAGGGTTTCTGGGCCAAAGGGTCATCTGCATGTTGACTCAGGAGGAAGAGCTGCAGGAGATCAGGGCCCTGGACAAAGTCTTCAGACCAGAAACCAGGGAGGAATTCGCCAGTAAGTAAACCAGAGGCTCTGTTTGTGTGACAGCAGTGAATGCTGACTGGGCATTGAGAGGGCTTGGTGTTTAGCAAATATGGAGCACTTGGAGCCCAATGCTTCTCCCGTGCTCACGCTCATCAGGAAGACTCACAACGACACAGCATAAAATACACCATGCAACAAGGCCGTCATCTGGCTTGTCCCAGATCTACACAAGGTGGTTATGGGGGTAACTGATGGACCTCCAGGCCTCTGGCCTTCTTCCCATTTGGAAATCTCACATCCGTTCTCTCTTTTTTAAAGTGCATTATAGATTTGTAGATTTGTGCTACCGCAGATTTGCCTACGGCTCCACAGCATAAGCAATGTCATGGGGTTGGAGACCTTATAAATAGATCACTGCCTTCCTACTGGTCTTAGCTGTTCCTTTTCTCATTTTGTTTTACAGAGAAAAGCCATTTAGCTTTCTCCCATTGAATTGGAAATGTGTGTGTGTGTGTGTGTGTGTATGTAGAATCTGCGAGTGAAGGAGAGACAGACAGCAGAGAGTGAGAGACTATGGCAGAGAAAACACACACAGAGCAGTATAAAGGACAGAATCAGAACCTGGGTAGGGCGAGCAAGGTCATAGGTGCCCCCCTGAATTCCTCTGCTCCTCTCCACCCTTCATCTTGACAAAGAAAATGCCTGCAGACTTTGCCGGAGGAGCAGCTCTTAATTCTTTGCTGTTATCACGGTCCCTGGGGCAAGGCCAAGGTCTGGTTTGAAAGTGTAGCAAGATAACCCTGCAGGGAAGTAGAGGCTCAGTGTCAGGAATGGGTGTAGGTTGCCCACGTCACGTTGCTCATAATTCAGCTGATGGCATGATGGCCAGTATCGTGTGGGTGTTAGAGAAGCCTGCAGATAGTGCCTGATCCGCTGCCCTGGCTTCCTGTCTGCAATGCAGGTCTCTTAGGGGGTGACTTGTGTGCAGTGCACACTTCTGACATCTGCCATATGCTGACAGTCATTCAATAACACCTATCATTGGAGCCCATTCTGAGTTCTCTCTTTCCCCCTCAAGTTTCCCCTTGTAATTGATCTGACTCTCCATTTGGACTCAGCACAGACCCAGAAAGCATCGAGTCCTATCAGAGTGGGCCTGAATTTTCCATCTTTGTGCCTCCCTCTTGTGGGTCCTCCTCACTGGAGCTCTGGAGGACACAGTCTGAGTAACCTGTTCCTTATCCGGGTTACTCTTAACGTCTTCATGCCTGGATATTCACAACCTGAGACCGCTGTTACAGCTTCCCACTCAGGACTCTGCCTCTGCGTCTTCCTCAGTCCAAATCCACAAGTGATTCCCCTTTTCTGTCAATCAAACCCTACTTCTCCCTTTTTACGTCTGACTACCACCACTTCTCTGATCGGTTTAATGAGTTTGAGTTTCCATAACTCTGTTTTCATGTGCAAAGCACAAATGACATCTTCCTGCTCGGATTCATTTCCACAAAAGGATGGGGGTGGAAACGATGCTCCCTCCTTCCCTCCAAATGCTGCATTCTGACTGCTGTGCATCTATTGTTCCTTCAGTAGAAAGGCCTCCTTCCCAGGATCCCCTCGCTTTGGCTGCCCTTGAAGGCCTGGGCAACTGACACTGTGTCAGGAAACTTCCATTCCGAGCAGGAGGGTTTCCCAATGAGCTGCTTTGTGTTTCTCAGAGCTGCAGACAAAAGCCAAGGTGACCGTGCTGGAGGGAGACATTCTGGATGCCCAGTGCCTGCAGAGAGCCTGCCAGGGCATCTCTGTTGTCATTCATACTGCGGCCGTCATTGACGTCTCGGGTGTCATTCCCAGACAGACCATCATGGATATCAATCTGAAAGGTACAGTACCTCAGGAAGATGCGGAGTGAGTGGGAAAATGAAAACAGAAAAACAAGTTTGCCCGGGGGGAGGGAGGGAAGCGGGACCCGTACTTTGCTATCCTTGCTCACTTCTTTCAGAGAGCAGAGCCATAGCTGCTAGTCTCGCTATTTCTTTCACTTTCTGTTTTATTTTTAGTTTGTGTTTGCATGCAGGTCTGAGCACCATTTGCATGGGTGGGCTGCCCATGGGGTAAGCAAAGAGCATCAGATACCCTAGAATTGGTGTTATGGAGGTTGTGAGTGGCCATGTGGGTACAAGGAATTGAACTCAGATCCCATGAAAGAGCAATCCGTGCTCTTAAGTGATTTGCCATCCAGCTGAACCCTAGTCCCTACAGTTTCGGTGAGGAAAACAGGCTGAGAGGAAAAGGAGCACAATCAAGACCCCAGAGACAGTAAGAGACTGAAGATTTAAAGTCACACTCATGTCCTTTCAAGTGCCAGAAAAGCAGCTCTCCTCCTCCAAGCCAGCACACTGGACTCCAAGTCCAAATTCTTTTCCTTCTGGCCCCCTTGCAGGTCAGATCCAGACCCGACAGGTGTTAGACAGCCCAGTGTGTGTTATTTTAGTTCTGGGAGAGCCGCCCTGTCCACCTGAAGGAAGGTGTTCCCTGCACAGACTATAGGAAAGCTTCTCCACAGATGTCGGCAAGGAAGAATGACCCAGCACGCCCCTGGCCACTTTGTTTACTTAGGAGCCATTATTTTCTGTGTCTTTAGCACTAACTTCTCAGGCCACTGTGGATCTCCTCTGGAGGACGTGGGTAATTCCGCGTACTTGGTGGGCCTTTCTACATCATGGCTTAAAAATTTAAGTTAGGGTGAAACAGGAAAGTTTGCATAGGATTTCTCTGAACTGTTCTCACTCTGAGCTCCGAGGACCAATTTCTCTATGACCATTACACCCTCTGCAAAGTCCCCCTGTGTGTTCCTTATGCTGATTTTTCATTTGGTTGCTCCAATACTCCTTTACAAAAGAAAATAATAGGTTTAGAATTTCCAGGAACATCTAAAAAAAGCGTTTCCAGTTTAGAATCGACCTCCATGTCCCTGACATGACACACACATATGTGTAAGAAGGTGTCAAAAGCCTCTGGTGTTCCTCAACCATCTCTCACCTATAACAATTACCTGTTGCATTTCCCAGCAGGAATGTGAAATAACGGGGCTAGTGATTAAAGCATTATTTTACTAAATCATTGTCACAGATGGGGAAAATATTTCACAATCAATGCTATTCCACCACCCCCCTCAAAAATTTAATCATCAAAGTCCAAATTTAATTAGGAAATATATTTAACTTAAGATAATGAAGTGATTTCTTCAGGAAATCAAGTTGCAGAAGGACTTATTAATAAATAGGTAAATGGTAATAGTAATAATAAATCCTTGCCCAGGACATTCCTTCCTCACGGGATGGTGTCCTTGTCTCTCCTCCAGGATCTGCAGGTTTGCACTATGTCTATAGTATTCTGCCATTACAGGAACGACCAGCAGTAGATACACATTCTTTTTCAGTTCTCCAGCAGGCTCAAGAGAAAACAATGAAATGATACAAGCAGCAAATTCTCATTCTTAAAGCTATGTTGCCAAAGTACAGACTAGAAAGCCTTTCTTCTTCACCAGAATCAAAGTTCGCAGGCAGAGAAAGACAGAGATCTGTAAAGGCTGGAAGGCTAGAAACTAGGATGAGCAGATAGCACATGTCACCATTTTCCTGTTTTTATTGCTCGTGAGCCCAGGCCCCTGCTGATCCAGGAACAGCAAAGAATGCAGGAGGGAGCTGGGATTAGGGTGGAAAGGAACAGGAATCATGTGGACTCCTTTGTTGATTTTGTGACCCTGACGATGTGTTGTCTGTGCTTAGGTACCCAGAACCTGTTGGAGGCCTGTGTTCGGGCTAGTGTGCCAGCCTTCATCTACACCAGCTCGGTTGATGTTGCAGGGCCCAACTCCTACAAGGAGATCGTCCTGAATGGCCATGAGCAAGAACAACGTGAAAATAAATGGTCTGATCCATACCCATACAGCAAAAAGATGGCTGAGAAGGCAGTGCTGGCAGCCAATGGGCGCACCCTGAAAGATGGCGGCACTTTACATACTTGTGCCTTAAGGCCTATGTACATCTATGGGGAGAAAAGTCCATTTCTTTCTATCCCAATGATCAGGGCTCTCAAAAATAGTGGTACTCTGGATGTTTGGGGCAAATTCTCCATAGCCAACCCAGTATACGTAGGCAATGTGGCCTGGGCACACGTTCTGGCTGCCAGGGGCCTACGAGACCCTAAGAAGTCACCAAACATCCAAGGACAGTTCTATTATATCTCAGATGACACTCCTCACCAAAGCTATGATGATTTAAATTACAATCTGAGCAAGAAATGGGGTTTCCACCATGATTCTAGCTGGTGCCCTCCCCTGCCCCTGCTGTACTGGCTTGCCTTCCTGCTCGAAGCTGTGAGCTTCCTGCTGCGTCCAATCTACAACTACCGGCCTCCCTTAAATCGTCACAGGATCACACTGTCAAATAGTGTGTTCACCTTCTCCTACAAGAAAGCTCAGCGAGATCTGGGCTATGAGCCACCTGTCAGTTGGGAGGAAGCCAGGGAGAAAACTTCGGAGTGGATTGGGTCACTAGTGGAGCAGCACAAGGGGACACTGAACACAAAGACTCAGTGATGTGACAATGGCAGGGACATGTCCCTGAGTGCCATCAGAAAATATTTGTCAGGTCCTACAGAAGGGACAAAGGTACAACACAGGTCCTATTGCCTCCTTTGACATAGAGATCAACATAGTGTCTTTCTCAAGTCACCAGAAGCTTTGCCAGTCACTGGCCCAGCCCCAGACTTTCTCCCTTTAGCACCTACCCTGTGACATGGGAGCTGCTGTGCCTCAGCTGTTGTGACTAAAGGCTTTGACACTTGCAATTTCCTGTCACCTAGATCTCAGTATTGGTTTCTTTCCACTCTTAAGTTTTGTGTCACATCCTGCCTTTGAGAAAACCCCATGAAGCTCAACTGAAATAGCAATAAATATTGCAATGCCTTACACGAAGACAGCATCTTTCTGTTATTGGGCGTTGTTATGATTTCCCTTCCATAGCCAGGCTCGGCACATCCAGATCACAAATGGAACCTAGAACTGGCGTTTACTCACAGGAAGTACAAGTTTGAGATTGGGCTTAACCAAATGTGTGGGCACTGACTACATGACTGGCACATATTACCTCAATTCACACTTCCCAGACAGGAAGCATGTATTCCCATTCTTACGTCATATATGAGGGATCTTCCTCTCCATCCCCCTGATGGGATGATGGAAAGTTCACTTCACCAGAGAGACTGACGTGAAATGTCTCATCTTCCCACTAAACCTTGCAGCCCGTACTTGCTTTCTATAGGGACAGCATCCCTGAAGAGTGGGATGACTCCTCTTTGGAAGAGCTCCAACTCTCTTGGCCTCCTTTCTGCCTACCTAGACTGATACACAAGACTCCCCAGAACCTTGAAGTACCTTAAAAACTGTGTACTCCTTAATAAATGGCTCTGGAGAGAGAGGGGCAGGAGAGGAAGAAGCCCTCTCAGCCACCACCTCCAATGTCAAGGTCCTGGAAGCTTGTAGAACACACCTGGATATATTTGTTACAGCTATTTTAATCATTAATTACGCCATATTCTACCTTCAAACTTACACACTAAAGACAAACCTTGTTCCTGGAAGGTTAAAAGGAACAGAACAGATTCAATCAAACATGAGTTCCTTCTCAACTTAGAATCTCAAAGATATTATCCCAACTCCAGATTTGATTCACTCCTGTCATCTTGCATGTCTCCATCACCCTTCCGCAGGGACTCCTCTGACATTATGCCTTTGTCTTTACTTCCATTTCTCCCCTTACCCCTTTCCATATTCTCCAAGGAGAGGAAGCCAGTCAGGAAATGAGTAGTAACCTAAATGCGAACACAACTATTAACTAATAGTTAACCAACAGTTGTCAGCTACTTTAGGTAGAGGTAAATACTCCTAAACATAAGCCTTTGAAACACAAGTATGATGGAGGAAGGTCATTGGCTAATAAAGGCACTGCCCTGGCCCATTTTATTGGTTAGAGGATAGGTGGGAGGAGTAAACAGAACAAAATGCTGGGAGGAAGAGGAAGTGAGGTCAGAGACTCCACAGCTCTCTCTGGAGCAGATGCCTCAGAGAGAGACGCCATGCCCTGCTCCCAGGATGAAGCTCCGACCCAGGATGGACTAGGCTGGAATCTCCCCGGTAAGCGCACCTTGGGGTGCTACATACAGATGATTAGAGGTGGGCTAAATTGATATGTGAGAATTAGCCTAGAAGAGAATGGGCCAGGCAGTGTTTGGAGGAATACAGTGTTCGTGTAATTATTTCAGGTAAAGCTAGCTGTGGGGGCGGCTGGGTGCTGGGGACGCAGCCCCGCCACCCTTATTACTTCATATGGCGCCCACGTGGACAACTGCTTCCACATAAAGCCTGAGACAGCTTGGGAAGTAATTCTAGAACAAAGTGAAAGCATTGTGCCTGGTTTCTTGGTAGCAGCAATTTCTCGGTTCTACTCTGCTTGCTAGAGGCAAGCAAGCGCCTCATCTAAGAGAGGCTTCCTGACTCAGCTTTAGCTGCAAAGCCTGCAGCTCATTAAGAGGTCCTGCCACGAAACACTTAAATGGTGTTGACGGAAAGCTGAACGCATGCTTTTCGGTTTTCAGCCGTAGCAGGAAAAAAGCTGCGCCGTTTAAAAATGCTGGCTTTCTGGGCCATCCTGCCAGGGCAAACTCTGACTGTTTAAGGCAGGAGGGCCGGCTACCAAGAGAGGACGTGAGTGTTGTCTGTTGTAGCTCACTTGCTGGCAGGGACCTTGAAATGCCATACAGTTGTTGCAGTAAACATGGCTATAGCCTGTATATCCGCCATGAGGCTGGAAAGCTAAGAAATGGACTGGATCCAGCTGGGAAAGCCACGCCTTTAATCCTACTGATATTGCTTGGTAAATTAAAGACTCGTGTGGTCAGAAAAAGAGAGATATACAGTAAAGAGAGATTCAAAGACAGAGAAAATTTCTGAATGGTTTAAAGTGTGTTAAAAATATATGCAGACTAAAAGTTGAAGTTCTTAAAGTAAAAAACAAAAAAAAGGAAGAGAGTTGTTGTGTGTGGTAGCACACGCCTTTAATCCCAGTGCCTAGAAGGCAGAGACAAACAGATCTTTGTGAGTTCAAGGTGTAGTAGTGTACACCTTTAATCCCGAATGCCTGGGAGGCAGAGACAGGCGGATCTCTGAGAGTTCGAAGACAGCCTGTTCTACAGAGTTACTTCAGGTCAAAGATACAGAGAACCTGTCTCAAAAAGCAAAAAGTTAAAAGTAAAAATAAATGAAATAGAGGTTAAAACAAAGGTGTACAAAGATGGAAAATAAACAGAGAATTTTGATACTGTATGCTATTATGCTCTCTTTGAATTGTTTAAATGCTGAGGAAAGAGCAAAAGCTACTAAAAGATATTTATTTATAAATACTGCTGAACTAATCCAACATAGATATTATGAATTTGGATCTAAGGATATGATACTTTGGAAAGGAGTTTCTTATTTTGTTTTCACAGAGGATGAGACGCTGTTCATTTCTTCTATTCCAATTTGGTATGATGGACCACGCCCTCCTGAAGGGTTGGTGTGAACGCCTTCAAAAAATTGCTTCGCTCAACTGCCAACTGAGATGAAGCTAGCACACAGGTTATACCATGAAAGACCTAATTAACGACGCCCCCATTCAGCAGGAAGCAGTTTGGAGAGAAATAACTGCGCCCATATTCCCAAATAATGTTTATAAATGTTCTTTTACATTTAAAGGGGGATATGATATAGGTATGAATAATTTGCATTAGTATAGATTTTGCTTTATTGATAGAGATTTACGGTCAATTTTGTTATATGTATAAGTGTTTCTGATTTTGATTAAGGTATTGTGATTGTGTAGTTCATTTAAATATGTACTGTATAATTAAGAAATATAGGTTGTTAATGGATAATCATCGATAATAGTAAAGCTTGTAGTCATGTTAGTTAGATTTTCTAGATATATAGAGATATATTTTAGATAAACATTCTTCATGTCTTTCAAAGATTACAGAATAGGACATTTAATGTTTTAATAACTGAGGACTTTTCATGACAATGAGACACTCTGCTCCTGGCAGCACCAATCTACTTCAAGAGGAAGATGGGCATCGAAGAGGCTCGTTATGGAGTTTTGATAGCCATTTGGGCAAGAAACTGCTCTTGCCTGGACTATTGCATAAACTGGACACAGAGAACCCGCAGAGAGAGGACTACTGAACTTGCCTAAGGTAAGATGATCTTTCGGGGTTCCTGATTCATTTTGAAAGAGTCTGTGAGACATTCTGCAGGACACAACAGATAGTGACTGAACTGACTTTGAATTTTCCTGCTTTATGGAAATGTCTGCTGGATACCATGGGCCTGAAGGCTGAAGATGGATGCCCCAACGGTACAAAAGAACTTTGGGTGACTGTCCAGGCAGCGAGATGTCTTTGTCATTTCTAGAGTTTGAAGTTTCTTAGTTCTTGTTTACTTAGGTAATATATCTTTCTGGAGTCTTTGATGGAGTTAAGAATAGTTAGTTATAGTTATAGTTTTCCTTAGTTATGATAAAGATTATTGTAACTTTTACTTGATAACTGTTTTGTTATATGAAATTTTGCTATGTTAAAGCCTTTTTTTTTGTTTAAACCAAAAAAGGGGAAATGATGGAGGAAGGTCATTGGCTAATAAAGGCACTGCCCTGGCCCATTTTATTGGTTAGAGGATAGGTGGGAGGAGTAAACAGAACAAAATGCTGGGAGGAAGAGGAAGTGAGGTCAGAGACTCCACAGCTCTCTCTGGAGCAGATGCCTCAGAGAGAGACGCCATGCCCTGCTCCCAGGATGAAGCTCCGACCCAGGATGGACTAGGCTGGAATCTCCCCGGTAAGCGCACCTTGGGGTGCTACATACAGATGATTAGAGGTGGGCTAAATTGATATGTGAGAATTAGCCTAGAAGAGAATGGGCCAGGCAGTGTTTGGAGGAATACAGTGTCCGTGTAATTATTTCAGGTAAAGCTAGCTGTGGGGGCGGCTGGGTGCTGGGGACGCAGCCCCGCCGCCCTTATTACTACACAAGTAAAACACAAGAAGGGGCAGCAAAGATACAGGAAAATGGCAGCTGTCCCAGCCTGTGAGCCCCCTTCCTTTTCCCCCTGGATTATGCAGTCTGTGGTCATGGAATAAGAGAAGCACAGGGACAGAGCTCCCCCACGGGTTTAAGTGTGGTGTGCATATGACTGAAGGAACGGAACTGAGTAGAAAGTGTCTGGGAAAGCTTCGGGAAATAGGTAGGAATTGGAAAGGTGAATCAGGTGGATCCTTGCAGGGTGGACAGCCCAAGAGATGGTGCAGAAGAGGAATGGGGGGAGGGTAGAACCCCAAAGTGAGTAAAGACACTGGACTCTACTTAAGCAGGCTTTGTTGAGAGATAGTGGATGTCCTGGGTGCCGGTCAGAGTCAGGCACTAAACAAGGGTGGCTTCTGGGACCCAGCAGAGTGTCCAGTAGATGGTCTGTTTAAGAGATCATCTCCAGGAGTGTGGTAGAATATC